TAATAAAAAGACTTTTTTGTTTTTCTTCTGGGAGAAAGTTACGAAAGAGAAAAGTTTGAATAGTTCGTGAAGTGGTATATAAGATCCATTTCTAATTGATATAAATCATAAAAAGAGAATCTGTTCTCCTAGTAAATCGAGGAATTTCTATAAGTTGAAAATGGCTGGTACTTATAATACTGAACAAGAAAGAATAATTGACAGAATTAAATGCATCGCTTTTCGTGAAGCTCGTGATACTGGTGCAGCATTTATTAATCGACAATGGATCGCGGACAAAATTCGCCGCACAACCCGATTTGTCACAGAATGGTAGGAAAAATCATATGATCAATGTTTTACTGATTATTCAAACGCTGATCGCTCAATTATCACAAGCAAGTCAAGACATCATTCATAAAGCAAGTAGCCGACAAGGAAAAAGTTGTTCTATTGTGGCGAGAGAGATTGCAGAAGAGCAAAAGGAGTATGTCACTGGAAGAACAATCAATAACTATCGTCATAGAGAAGGATTGAAGCCATTTAATGTTATTCCAAAGCCATTAAAAACTGAAACTTATATATCAAATCGTTTATGGCTATGCGACTGGTTAGAAGATTGGACTGAAGAAGACTTTCTTCATCTTGCACCATCTGACGAGTTTTATGTCTGGATTGTTCGTAGACCAAATTATCAAAATGATAGAATTTGGGCCTTAAACGTCGAAGATATTGAAGAGGATGAAAGGTACCGTGAAATGATTCAAAATCAAGTATGCATTGGGATTTTTATTATGTTTACTTGTAAGAGATTACTATGGGTGATTAAAGATAAGGGCGAGTCTTGAACTGGTGATTATTTTCGTGACATAATTCTAACTCAAAATGTAATACCTTAAATGATGAAGAAAATGTTATTGATCCTGATGAAGTTACATTTGTTCATGATAAGGTACCATGTATGCGAGCAAACAAAACCCAACATTTGCTTCAAGGCAACAATGTGAAGTTTTGGGGTAATGACATCTGGCCAGGAAATTCACGTAATCTCAATGTGGCAGAACGTATTGGATCAATAATCAAAGATGAAGTTGAGAAAAAAACGTTATCAGAAACTGGACATAATCGGTATCTTGAAGACATACTCACAGTACATATTACAAATGTTTTGACCAATATCGAAACAGACACTGATTTATTTGAAACACTTTTACGTTCGTATCCATCACGCCTCCGTGCAGTGAAGAATGCTAACGGTCGTCATACTCATTATTGATTCTATTCATTGAATGTTGAAAAAATAAACTATTCCGGAATACTAAGGGTCTGAATTTCGCCTCGGAGATAGATTTTCTCTCACTTCATGTTAATGAAATATTATAAGTTTCGAGAGTTTAATACACTAAGGTCTTCATAACCCTTACTGTTTAGTATCAATAAATCCCGTTTTTCAAGGGCTTTCATTTGGTATAAAATTCATCATCTACTCTATTTAAAATGATGGTGTTAATCCCCTGGAATAATATTTTTTCCAACCATGTAGATGTCTTTACTGTGAAGTCAAAAGGCGTTTAATTGTAGTTATATAATATCTGAAAGGGTGAATATTTTTCAAGAATCCTTGAAGATATTTCGTTCTGGTTGAAAATGGTGCCAGTAGGCTCAAAACAACCTGGAGAGAAATTTGGCACGCTTTTTCGGGTGTTCGTGGGTGTTCATTGAAAATGTATGCTTAAAAAGCGAAATTATTAAAACCTTTTTTGGTTGTTCGTTAGACGTTTCTATACTCAGTTCGACGAATCTATCGATTGGCTAACTCAGATTTTAATTTGGGGGTGTTCGTGTTTTGTGAGACTCCCTCACTATCTTCGAAGAAGAGGGAGTAACAGTTTTATACCCAAAAGTCGCTGTTTTATGGTAAATTTATGCACATCTTTTAGAGACATTGATAATAAACAAAATCAGAAACAACAGTTTAATATCGGACAGATTGAGAACAACACTGGTTATAGACAGCTTTAAGAAAGAAAATTGTATAGGTTCACATGTAAACCTAAACAAGAGGAATTACTTGCAATCAATACATATGAATCACAACAAGATGAACGGTTTGCATCAATTATGGGTGCTACTATTTATCGACAGCAAATTTTTTTTTGCCTTCTCTCAGTATCTTCAAAGAATATGGAGTTACAGTTTTTATATCCAAAAACCCTGATTTTAAGATAATTTTGTGCCGCGAAATCTCTTAGTATGACGCAGTCATCGAAATAAAAGCTTGGTTTTTCGATTTATGGATTCCCAATTATTCCTCTTATATTGTTGCTAACGCCGTACTTATTTTCGTTTTATATTTTTCGTAAAACCAGTTACTTTTTACTGGTTCATTTATCGTTTTAATTTTTGACATTCTAAATCATTTTTATCTCTTTGCATATGAATTCTTCACCTAATCGTTCTAAGTCACGGCCGGCGGTACCACAGCTAAATTCTCAAAACAGATTCCCTGTCACAATATAGGATTAAACCATTGCTGAATAATTGCATTAAGCTATCGTGACTCATTAGTCATTCTAAACGGAAGTTAACATCACACAGAAAGAGACGGAGAAGATCGTCATTGAACGCATCACAACTGGAAAAGGTTCAGTCTCAACGAAAAATTTATATGCGAATGAAACGTGCATATCAAAATATATCTGACAGTATATTAAACTTTTATTTCGGATTAGAAATAATTTTCTTTTTTAAGACTAGACGTCTCAGTATTGGGAGTTCCACGTTTTAGCACCTTCAGGTGCTACCCTGCCAAGGTTTTTTAGTAATACCCTTGATAGTTTGTACTTTTCAGAAAAAGAGGAAAATATACCAGTAAATACCGATACATGCCTAAATTCAGTCAACTTGTCATTAGTAAAGTAAAAATACATTAGAAATTGTTTCGTGTTTCTATAGATAATGTGAAAATGTTCACCAAAATATTTGTATACTCCACCCCGTTCTGAAGGCTATACTAATAGAGAGTTTCTCGAAATCTCTGTCCCTATATGATAGTGTAAATTTTTTATTAGATGTTACTCCCGTATGAGCAACTATGTTATTCAATTTTAATTTTTAAACTTAATGCGGGAATGTTAGCTCACTACATCTGCTTGTTAATATTCTTCTCAATCATTTTTTTTCTTATCAACTATTTTCTTGTTGTTTTTCTCTCTAACCTATTTTGTTGTCTAGATATACATCATACATATCACCTGCATGTTTCTATATCATCACACACTTTTATCTAATGAGGTGAAAGCAAAATTAATACGCTTATCGAACATTATCAACGCCTAATCGTAACGTTGTCTCAGATGAAACAGGTGCATACAAAACTTTTGATCATTCAAAAGAGATTTGGAGAAAACATTGTAAATAAAGTATATTTTTATAATTGGTACAGAAAATGCAGTCTATACGTATATATATGTATATAAACATGTTGCAATTTCATGATGTTAGCCGTTGTCATTTTAGCTTATGATAATCTTCAGTTTCAAATCTAAAATAGAGAAATTTATTGATAATTTAAAAATCTCTTGTTGAAATGTAGGAGTTGGTAAAATCAAATGATCGCATAGGTAAGACACTTAATCTGGGTGTGAGTGTGTTAAATATGATGAACACATCTCACATTTTCAATTTTTTATCGTCATATATTGTCGTAATTTGATAAATGTGTTATAGGCTGATTGCAGATAATATGTCGAGAAACTGTTCATTTAGATAGGTGAACATTGTGACAATCACAAAACACATATTTTTCAATTCATCATAAGTTAGGTGCTATCCTCCACATGTTGATGTATTTCATAGGCAAAGCAAATTAACGTAGTTTCAAGAGAAAGAGTCATCTTTGATCCAGTTTTTGGTATATTTGAAGCGAAAGAACGATAATAAACAGGCCAATTATATATTACAGTAGCTTATTTCCAGAGAAAAAAGTGTAGTATAGGTAACACACTGGTTTGGTTTTTGCAACTGTTTCATGTGCATCGTACAATCTGATCTGAGACAATAAGTAATGAATATGTTGAAGTTATAATAAATTTTTTTTTCCTTTTCATACTGTATTTGATATAAAAAAGGATCCTTTTTTATCGAATGAAATAATCAATAGTCTGACTGATATTATCGTTTATAGTGAAAAGTCAAGTTTTGCACGTGTATATGTGTATTGAAAGGTTTTTGGCACTTTTACACAAATCGTGATCAAATTATGACACCACCAAAAGTTAGACTAAGTAGTGAATGAATATATTGAGTAAAATAAATTTACAGGAAATTAAAATGAAAACACGTAGAATGCCTATATAATTACGTAAAAGCTAGTCTCTATTATGGCATAGCAGTAGGGTGTTCATTCGAATCACATTGAATTATTCTATTGTTAATAATCCAATGTTCCTGAATACGTATTTGAGTGATATCACCAAATGTATGAGTATGTTAACAAACACATATTGCTAATCATACAAGTTTCGATTTCAAAGACCAAAATATGTTTTGGTACTAGCTATTAGGTTTTTATGTTCATCTAAGACTTGTTTTATATCTGAATTATACAGACAAAATTAATTGCTTTTAAACATGAACATGATGTCAGTAAATATTTTACTAATTAGACGTTTCTTTTGTATTTTAGTTTCATTTGACACAAGTTGACTTAGAGGGGGATACTCAATTGAATGGTCGTTATAGTATGATATTTTTCTAAACAAAGAACAGGGAACAAAAAAAAAGGCCATATGTTGTTAATATAGAAGGTAAAAATTTGATTGACAACGACGAATTCATGATTATGTACAAATTCTTCTTATTATTTTTTTGAACAATTCCACCTTCTTATCATCATTACTACCTGATGTTGAACAGCTATCAACAACACAAGATCATTGGAATTACTATTCCTTTTTTCAAAATGAGGTATCATGTCTTGACTATTAACAGCACTGATGAAGTAACTTCTGCTAAACTTCTTATACGTGAATAGTGAAGTATGGTTCGAATATCTGCAGGTTTTCTCAAAATTCTTTGCTACCCGATTAATAATACGTACATGAAGGGATGTTTTATTGAAAATAATATTCCTCCGTGCGTTATACGAGTAGAAATAGAGAAACACGAATGAGTGATAAGTATACATTATGCTCTTCTTTAAGATAGATCTTTTTTTGATTAAGTATTAGAGTTCTTACTTCTTAACGAAAACGAATTCTTTCTTTCTATTGTATATACAAAAATATAGAAAAAAAAATTCATAGCCATATTGTATCATAATTGTTTAGAAATTCATCTTCAACGCGCGGTTGTTCTAACAACAACTAAAAATAGAAGATGAGCTTATATTCATATAAAATGTCAAATGACCACCTGCCTTATACATTCTTTTTATTATAGTACACAAATAGTTATCTGCTCATCCCCTGTCATTTTAAATTTTAGTTTTTTAAATATACATCTGATAGGTTAAAGAAAAGGAAGAATGATTATAATAAAGAATAGCAGGTTCAATTAGAAGAAAAAATAAAATCATTTCAACAGCAGTTGTCTTTTTAAAATGTTCAAAGTATATGACAATAACACATATGTTGAAACATCTCTAATCAAACTTTTCATCATTAAGCCTGTGAAATACCTTTAAAAATGCGTACTCATCAAAAGAAACAATAGTAAAAACCAAGTTGAGTATGAGTTTTTGAAAACTATTTTTTCTATTATTTTCAAAGCATGTCTTCTTAAGTTTGATATTTTTAAACAACTCATCGTTTAGAGAAAAGAAAATTTTACTATTTATATCAAAAACGGAAGTATGCCATGGAGTAATAATTAAATCTATTATTTTTTATCTTTATCCAAAGGCAAAAGATTGTATCCGTTATTGAAAAACACCTGTCTGTGAAACTAATTGTATGCAACAAACTCTACATATTTTCACTGTTTTTGATAATTAGACTTAAAACAGATGATAGTAAAAACCATTGATTTTAAAAGGAAAAAAACAGCTATGCATGTTTTTTAATCTTCTTAATTAATTAGATCAAATAAATAAAAGATTTTTTTGAATGAATGAATCATTTCATATTCTTTGGTGACATACTACTAAATGAGTGAAAATGACTGTCAATGATTTTTTTAAGTTGAACAGGTAAAGGTAAAAATAGATCACTTTTTGTGGAGATGAGTTATATCATTTTGCAGGGGAACAGAGCAAATTCAGACTATTAGCATCAAAATACTTAATAGAACGAGTATTTTTTGAATTACATTTGATAAATGAATTGACCATACACAAAAAAAAACAGAAACATCAAAAAGTAAAATATAGTAAAATTTTATTCGGATACGAAAGATAAACTACTCTCTCTCTCTGTATAGATATATAGATATATGTATGTATGTTTGTTTGTTCATCTTTTTTGTACCTGACTACAATGTTTGATAACGGAATGTGGTGGCAATGCTGCACCCGTGATAATTATATTGTCACTGTTTGTATTATAGTTATTATTTGTTATTGTTCTGTTTTGACCGTTGTTCATGTGTTGTTGTGCATGTTTTGTTTTTAGTCCACCATTACTAATATTTCCTCCTGTTGTACTGTTATTATTATACGTTGGTGGTGATGATCTCTTGTAATAATCATTTGATGATGATGGACGATAATATAATGAGTTATATAGTCCCATACTGTCTGATGGTGTCATATAATCGATATTAGTCAATGTATTCGTATCAGCTAGGGGATTTAAGTGAGAAAGACGATCGGTGTATGATGAAGAGGCTGTTGGTGGAGAAGAAGATGTTGAGTCGACGTACGAATGAGTTCGAGTCTGAGGTGGTGTGGTATAATTATTGGTATTATAGTGATAGTAGTTATTGTATTTTGTTGGATTGAGTAGAATATTGTTGTATGCGGCAGCGGCTGTATACGGAGACATTGATGTATAACCATTCAAATAATAATTATTATATATTGACTTTTCAGCAACATCCAAATGTAGCAAATCATTTGCTGTTGGATAACGAATGGATGAATTATCGGTCGTTGTTTCAATAAAACCATGACTATCTGAATAAGGATAACAGCCATTGTAACCATTCATGTATGGAGTATAAGGATTTACAATTGGATGATCAAATCCATTGGGTGAAAATGTTGGCTGTTTCAATAATTGTGGTTTACATTTTCGATTTCTTGTCGGATTTTGTACCTTATTGGATGATTTAAAAACAACAAAATCATTCTCAGCACCTGTCGACGGATTCATACCACCACCATTCAAATTAAAAGTCGTATCAAAATCATATAAACACGGATAAGGTAGTTTAAATTCAGAACCACGTTTATAATATAATTCTTGTCCTTCTTCATTCCTAAACAAAAAATAAATGTATAAAGAGAAAATATTCTGAAAAGTTAAAAAGAAATCTTACGTTAACGGTCTATGATTGGCAATAACACAATCTGGTTTATTACTTTTGTATATAATACGCATAGATGACTGTAACCATTGCCAACGACCATCATTTGTTTGAATACGATAACAGACAAGACCCGATGTACCAGTTTTCAGTACTAAAAATTAAGAAATATATTTCAATGTATAACAACTAAAATTGTATCACATTAAAAATAAACATACATTCTTTGTGAGCTGTCGAATAATATTTAAGATCATCGGGATGAATAAGTTGATAACCCGAAAATTGTGATAAATCATGATCCGTATAGTTTAAAATTAATTTTCCTCTTGGGTCAAGTGAGATAGGTTCTAATGTAAGTCGATGTTTACTTTTAAATAAACTTTCACGTTGTGGTATTTCAAATAGTGATGGTGGTCCAAATGGACATGCAACACCAAACAAAGCTAGAGTATGTGAATCATCAGTTTGTTGTGTTTTTTGTCCATGAAGTATGCCAATTCTTCCATCAATTTCAAGTGTCTAAATCAAAGAAAATTTTTTTACTCATTGAGAGAAAAATACAATGTTGTTATCTATAAAAACAAAAAACAACAACAACACATACCACAAATCCTGATGTATTGTCTAATAAACATCGAAATCTTACGGTAAAACTTCTTTCAAGTAAATGTGCATTTTCTAAACAAAATAGAATGAGATGTCATTATTTTTTTCCGGAAAAGCGCATTAAATAAAATTTTAAGAATTGGTAAAATGATCAGTTGTCAATGATAATTTTTTGTATTACATCCGATCTACATCTATGATGGAGATGAGAATAAATTCGTTAAGGATTTATATTCTACCTGGATTTGAAAATAATTGTGTTATAGTCATATTGGACTGTTCACTGGTTAATTTTCCATTCCATTGTAAATGTCTTTTAAATTCTTCTCGATCTTCGGAATGAATTAATTCAAATGCACTTTGATGAATAATATCTGACTGAAAGAACAATAAAAATAAAAAAACATGAGGTTATAGATCAAAAATATAATTGAATTGACATTGGGTGTATGTATATAAAAAAAGAAGATTAATTATATTAAACTTAGATCACAATCTTCTTCGACTTTCATTTGTAATTTTATTTTTTTTGTTTTTTATTCAGACAGATGAATCTCCCATCAACAAATCATTTTTATTCAGAAACATCATAGCGTGATTGCTCTTTTTTTTTTCTTCTTTTTTCTTTCTGATTTATACACGATGAGATAGCAAACTGCTCATTTGTTGAATGACATATCAGAAAGTCAAATCTCTCTAGTTTTAATCAAATTATTGAGAGCTGAAAGTGTGATCAACAAAAGATGAACTATAATTTTTAGAATAAACACATATTGAAAATGAATGCGTAATGCTGGAGTAAGAACACTCAATCTGTGTACGAATATAAAATGTTTTATGTCGTTAAACATGCTGTGCATCAAATTAGATCGTTTTTCTTCTTTTTTTTTGGTTGTGTGTGGCATAATTTACCGCAAAAACATAATGATATTAGAATCCACAACAAATGTCAATGTTTCAGACATAAAAATATCGTCATAGGAATTATATATTATAAGAATTACGATTAGAGGAAGTAGATCGTCCCTCTCTCCTTTAGGACTTGAGACAATTAGTCTCTCCCTTCTAACGTCTAGTGGAATTCAAATCCAACTGCTATACTATATTCATGAAAAAAACTTCATTTTTTGTAGTGAATAATCATCTTTTACAATTGTAGAAGCATTTGTTTTCTGATACAATTTTATTGTTGATCTAACCGTTACAATAATTCACAGAGTGTAAAAGTCTCAATTGGAGAGTTCCCTTTCCCTTTCAATCGAGTTAATGTCATACATACGCAAAAAACAAAAAAAATTATTTGAGTCACCTTGGCTCCATTAAAACATGGATGAATACTACTGTAGAATCTAAACGTACCTGATGAAAGCCAAGATATTGTTCGACCGTTTTTGATGCATAAAACAATTCACCATCACAACTGATAATCAATATGAATCCTTGTAGTGTCTTAAAACAACAGAAAGAGAATAGTTAACAAGTGATTTTTATTTTTATGTTCATTTTTTTATACCTCTAAAATTGCAACACCTTCTGAAAATGTAGGATCGTGATAATAGATTTCTTGATAGATTGTCGATGGTTCAGGTTGATAATGGTAGTTTTTCAATTTGACTAAAAAAAAAATTGAATAGACAAAACTTTATTTTTGACAATTGTTTTCCAAGTTCACTCTTCTATAGTTTTTAACATATTAGACTGATTGAAGGACAACATATTTATTGAGTGGACAATATGCAAGAATGTATTATCAAATAATAGTGTTTTTTCAAATAAAATTACTTTCATCTCTGTAGATCTTAATGACAGAACATTTAGAGATGTCAACCTTAAAATAGTTCAAGATTCGAAGAGTGTTTCATATTTATTTCCATTAATAATGATTTTCTAAATCAAGTTGTAAATAGATATTAATTATTTTTGACTGTTCATTTCACTTTTATTTTATCGTTCAATCTATTCCTATAATTAGTGAATGACTTATCTTTTATTTTACCTATATCACGCCAATCGTCTGTAACAAAAAAAAAACTTAAAAACAATTTGTTCGACATATTTTTGCGTGAGCAAACAAAATTATTGGTTGACGAAAGATCAAAAATGAACGATAAATATAAAATTGAAAAAGAATATAAAAGTACCGACGTATCAACAACTCTATATAAATCAATAGTTTTAAATCCATTCAAGATGTGATTACTTCACATAGATGTTATCGAACAAAATTAAAATCATGATTATAGTTTTTCAGTCATCTTTAGTCAAAAATGTTATAATACACACGCTTCGAAAATCTTTGCAAATCTTCATTTACTCGTATCATTCAATTACCTAAAATTCTTTTTTTTAAGTTTATCAGTCGTTTAACCTTTTTCTTTTCTTTTTATACAAAATGCTTCTAAACATCAAAAAGGTTTGAGAATCATTTTTTTTGAAATATTTTTGTAATATTTTTTAAAAGTGACTTTTCTGTAGAGGAAAGTCTAATCTTTAACTAGACTAGAAAATCGTTTAAAACGATTTATCATTAACAACATTATATTATAGATAATAATAATTTATTATTGTTAAACACCTCTAGCCTTCTCTGTATATTAAAGCGATACTGTGTTATTGCGTTAACGCTTTCTACTTTATTTATCTTGTTCAATTTTATTGTTGTCTTTCTCGGAAGAAGAAAAAAAGAAGATGAACTGACGATTGAAAATTATCAATGCGCACGACCTTAATCAAGTTACACATCTATTTAACACTCAATTAGAGAGAAATATTTGCCTTGAGTAATGTAATAATAATAAATATCATAAAACAAATGTTAAATGGATATTTTGCTTAGATTGATCTTTGAAATATCAAAGTATTTAAGTGACAAGAAAACATCGTACTAGTGACATTCATTAATTTGGCAACGTTGTTATCACAACAGCACTATTAAATACCCTTCTTTATAGTTTATAGCAAACAATTAAGAAAGATCTTTGTGTTTCAGAACGAAAAAAAAGAAGAAGAGAATATTAGAAATTCTTAATTCTGTTTGACATGCGAACAACGGAAATCACTACCGGTCTTCATCATATTCTTTTTTTAGAACTATATATATATATATATATATATATATTAGTACGAGAAAAAATACAAAATGAACAGGAAATTCGAACAATTCTTACATGAACCTAAAAAATGAACCTTTACTATGTTTAAATATTTAGAAAAAACGATAATTCACAGAATAGAAAAGTAGAATGTGCGACATGGCGATTTATTCAATATATAAATCAACAAACAGAGAGCATCTGGTCTATGTTACTGTCCTCTATAATGAAAACAAAATGTCGATAAAAACAGCATCACCCATCTTACCTATGTAAGGTAAAAGAAGGACTTTTTTTTTATGACCAACTCATTCCAGAAAAATCATTTCGAAACCATTGTAAACATTTCTTATACTTTCATTATTTAATTTACAGTAAAAATATATGAGTTCTTCAAAAAAACGAAAAAATGTGTTTTTCATCATGTTAGATGTTTATTGGGAACATTTTTTCTACAGAAAATATCAGATTGAAAAGAGTTTTTTCAGAGTTAACTCGTATTTAGTTTTTTTTCTTTACAGCTTCCACATTTTCTTAAACAAAACGATGTTTTTCATTATATATGGTTGAAGTATTTTTCCTATACTGTACAAATATAAACTGAAATTTGTCAATCGATTCTGCAGATGACCGACCAGTAACTTGTCTCTTTAAAGAATGAAAGCTTTAAAAAACTCAAATACTATGTTTTTTTTATTTTGTTTTCTTAAAAATCTTAATTTCTGACTGACATTTTTGTCGAAAAACAAAATATCATAGAATTTAAATGAGTTATTCGAAAACACGAAGAATGTGACTTTTTTTTAGTGTATTCTATAACAAGGACAATCCTACAAATCTTAGAGAAATTTAGTTGATGATATGAAACTACCATTTCGTGTTTTGTTCTCTATTTCATAGAGGTGATCAATTGTCTTCTTCTTTTTTTCACCATGTGCTAATTGGTGTCAATTAGATAACCGGATAATTCGTTAATAGAAATTTACTAAACATAACAGCATGATCTTTTGAGAATCACACTTGGCATGAAGTGAGAAAGTCAAAAAATAAATACACAGAACAAATGTAGAAACAAAATCCTCCTTGTGTAATGTTTAATGAATAGGATCCCATAGAGACGATATTATCAAGTCAAAGTTAAATAAGTAACTAACTCTGCTACATATAGTAATCATCCATTATAACTATTGAATGTATCCTTCATTCGCTGATTAGTAACAACTGATCTTCTACCTCTAAGTTTGAGATCAAAGTATGTACGTGGTACAGGTGTCTCAGAAAAAAGTAAGAGGATGAGTGTGTATATAGAAAAACATTGAAGCATGAACATAGCGTCGTCTCATGTTCTTAATAACGTTATTTAATAACATTCCCACATTTATCTGAATGCCAAAATACACATACATATCAATTTTAAACCTATAATTTATTCTAAGCTTGATTTAACAGTAATATGTTCAATACAAGAAAAGGAATTTTTTATTTTCTCTGTCTATTACCACGCATGTGCTCTGTTTATCATAATTAGTTCGTATAGCTTTATGATTGGTAAAAAGAAGTCAAAAAACCTGTATTTATACAACACGCACATCTAAATGTGTTATTTTCATGTGCATCATCCAAAATAAAAAGATTGACAGCAACGTTTAGTGAAGATTCATTGACCAAAGTCCCACCTCCTACCATATATATATACATGTACACAAACAAAAGTTACCTTGAAAATAGGATTTGACTCGTAAATAACTGACAGCCAATCGTAATATTGATAATTTATCAAGTTTTGTTAAAATATTTTGATCAAATGGTAATAAACTGGCTAAATTTTCTAATTCACCATTTAGTCTTTCACGATGACGTTTACTAGGGTTAGATTTTTGATTTTCTTTTAATGGACTTTTATAGCTAAAAAGTGAAATTAAAATTATATTAAATTTCATTAGTAATGTCTTTAAGCACATTCCGGGATAAAAGAGTAGATTCTTTAAGGTATCCATGGTAACTAGCCTAATAAAATTTAATAGCTATTTGTCGTAAAACTAAAACATAAGCTTCCTGTCCTGCTTCATTAGAATAGGTTCGTTTCCTTGCTCTCCTGCTACATTATTTTTTTTTCTCCTAGTAAGAATAATTGCATGTCGATTTACACAAATACAGGCTATAGCAACTATTTTTTTTTCTGATTTCTAAACGTATAGACAAGCATCAAAGAAAAACAAAAGAGAAAAAAACTTTAATCAGTCTTTAAAATAGAAATATAAACTCGAGTAAATTTGTCACGCAATCGAATATTAATTCTACTTTTTCTTTGTCTTGAATGATGAATTATTTATTGCAAATGTTCTATTAATTATATAGAAAAGTATATTTCAATTTCTCCATAAAGGTATCTTTATTTTCTATCATCCTTACTCTTTCAATGTGAACGTCATGTGTTATACATTCTCAACACTATGGAAGAATCTGTCATATGAGACGATCAAAAATATATTCTTCAAAGGAATCGTTTGAATGACAGTTTGTCTACTGAATATTCATCTAGGCAATCAAAGACTAATCCACAGTTTGAGAATAGAATATTGTTTCGTCAAAATCTCTCTATTCCTCAAGAATCGTTTTTCTCACACTAAGAATAAAATCAACTTTCAAGCCACATATCCTGTTCATCATACTCTCATAACCTATCTGCTACATTATTATCAACAAAGTTAAATCAAGTTCTAACAAGTGAAAGTGAATTTGCTTCTACGCTTTAATCTCAGTGAACTACATAACACTTTTTTCACTCATTTTCACTCGGATTTTTTTCTCGTGATCTCAAATGCTTTGGCAGACTGATGAAAAGAATTAAAAGGAAGGCAAGGCAGTAGCAACCTACTTCAGGCTGGAAAGAGCGGTCATCTAACAAATTTCAGAAAAAAGTTTACTGACTAAAGTCATTAGGATAGATCAAGGGAAAGAAATAAAAGAATTTCACACACTTTTGAGAACTTCCCTGCTTTTGCTGATGTTTAATGCTTAAAGCTTCTCTAACTGCATTTCCGCTTTACTTATTTCTCATGCAATATGAAGAATATGGGTAAAAATGGAAGGTTACGTGATTCGTTCCTGGTATCATGATATTTACATGATCACATGCAGCAATGGTAGTAAATATCAATTGATTATACATTAAACATTTCGTGTCATAGGTCTCTTACTTTTTTGTATTTCTTCTTCGACGTTTTGTTGCATACATAACCTGATCGCGTTTGTTGTTTCAAAAAGCCAGTAACAAAAAGCCACTTATTTTGTCAAAGAGAAGAAAAAGAAAAAATTTATTCTTTTTTCATATAATTAAGACACATATATTTTTTAATTTAAAAATCATCATCATATCGTGTGATTGGTTCTATGCGTGTCGTTCAATATCGCTTTGTTTTTATTTTACTATTTTAAGATTTGACTCGTTTTTTTTTTCTTCTGGTTTGCGCATCTCCATTTCACACATATGGATCAGACAATCATGCAAAGAAAAAAACTCACGAATAGGCTTTCTTAATTACTATAGAAAAGAAAGGAGAGAGAAAAATATATTTTAGTCAGTGCATTGGAGCTCGTTTTTTCTCTTTCTCTCGCTCAAGGCGATTATTTTTTTGTCAATAGTGACGTTTGGATTCTTTTTACTTAACCTTTTTTCTATTCGTTTCTGTATGTAAAACATGCAGCCAATAATGTTCAAACCCGATATTTACATTTTTATCAAACGATGATTGGTTTGGTTTGATACTCAACAGCAGAAAATAAAAAGTGAACACGTAAAATGAATCGTATAAGAACTAGAACGTGCATGAATATTATGTGTTGTTTAATAATAATAACTGGCCTTCTCAAAAAAATTGAAAATTGAAAGTTTTTCTGTGAGCAATTTTGATCCATCATTTCAATTTGAGATAAACAGTTGATCATGTGCATACCGATGTATTTCAATAAGTAAAGCATGCTATTGATGAAGTATAAAGTGTTCAATAGAGCATGTATTCTACCGTTCTCTTAGGACAATAATAATTCTTCGGTACTTTTTACAGTCTTATAGCATGCATTCCTGAAAGAACATGGGGATTTAGTGTTAAATACCTATCAAATAAGCGTATAACTGATTTGGTCCGAATGGGCAGCTTATAGAAAAATTATACCGTTTCGATTGAGTTTGTTGTATTTCAACAACTAGCTTTCTACTTCTGTTCCATATAGTGCACATAAATTATATGCAGATACTTGTATAATTTTCACGATCATTCATACTTTTTTGAAACTAACTTTTTTACTGCATATACCATATCATTATATAATTAACGTTTAATCGTTTGCCTTATTTTTTAATACAAAGATCAGAAGTATTGGGCTATATACATGATATTACTCTGTATTTCTTAAGAAAGTTAAATTTAAGGGATTACTTCATTCTCATCTAAAAATAACTTCTTTCATTCAAAACGTTTATTTGGTGTAGTTTTGCGAGTTCTTCCTGAAAGGTCACGTTGTTTTTGATTTATGTCTAATACATTTTGGAACACACAAGAGAGATAGATGACAGATGAGTATAAACATATTTTCTAGTTAAATGAGTGGGTTACGAATTAGTTAGAATAATCAAATCTATCAAATACTGTTTCACACACAACTCAAAAAGGATATACTGATTTAAGCTGTTAGGGCGCAATGACATTAAGGCTTCAAAATTCATTTTTAATACATATCTAGCGTTTATCTTTTACCCTAGACAAAATCTTACGCACTTCCTATCTATTTCCTGCTAGGATCTCGCTTGAGTTTTTCCAGAATCCTAACAGAATCTTAGAAAATCATATGACTTTCGGGTATACCTGATTTCATTAAGGATCTGTAAGACTTTGTTAGCATCCCAAAAAATTAACGTGAAATCCTAATAGGATACGCCTCGGATCGTGTCGAGAAACTTATAGGGATTTTACTACGGTATGATCTAAACAAATACACTCTAAAACAGAATGCTCTTCGAATGATTCTAGTATTTCAGGATATAATCATTCTGTTACTATAACTACTGACATGTGGTAGTGAAGATTACGGTCACCCTCACCTCAATGCTCTAATGTCGTTGCACTTTAATGCTGCTTGCGTCTTAACATTCGCGCCCTTGTGCTGTGTGAGATAACGGTTGGTAATCCTTAGGGATTTTTTTCGTTTGTCTTTGTCCGCCATCACACAGTATGCATCCATGCTGGGTTTTGATGAAAAAATGAAAGTTGATTTTTCAGTAATTTTAAGGATGATTAATACACTTTGAAACATGCTCTATTTAATGACAAAAATTTTTATATCCTAGAACTTATTTAACCTGGGAAAATCCTATACACAAAAACACACTAAAAAACCCGTGTCCATCGGAAAATCGAATTATACGCAAAAATTTTAAAAAATCAAACATAGCTATTGGGCAAACATATATTTGGAATCAGCATCAAGTGCGCTATCGATTGGTAAAAAACTTTTCTATTTTTGGGCTTTCTAAGTTGGAGAAAAAAAATAAAACATTTTTCTAGCGCATTTTCCCAGGAGGTGTGTTTGATGCAATGCGTGCGCGAACTTTAGCGAAGCTCCAATTTTGATGAAATTTTCAGGGAATGATGTCTTATATATGACATATCAACACAATTAGCGCCGACGCTTCTGGACCGAATGGTAGGCTTTCCAAAAACGTTCTAAAAGTCTTGATTTTCACGCTCGATTCCTCTTTTTCAGACACCAAAGCATTTTCATTGAAAACTAATGGCATATTCGGAATCAGCGTGTGAAACTGCATCGGGTGATGTATGACACAATATATTTTCTAACAAAAACATTTTCTCGAAAAAATGTAGGTGAGGGTCCCCCTCAGATGTTTTTCGTCGAAAAAATTTTTTTTCAAAAAATGCTTTTTTTTCTTAAAGGTGGTTTTTTAAGTGATATACAGCCACTTTTGAGCACGAAAGTTACATGACCGCCTGCTATGCAAAAAATGCACACTGTACATCATGCATAGCAGATTAATTATATTTGTAAACTCTTTCAGATCTACTGAGAGGAGTTTCAGAAAACTGATTCATCTATATGTTAGACGGCAGCAAAGTGGTGACACATCAAGTAACAAAATCCTATGAATTTTATACCCAAGTCCACTTTCGCGACTCATTCGCGGCCCGGTCGCTCTGATATCCCTCGCGTCACGGCGCGGGCGTTACATCTTTAAACTCACGGGGTGATCATGATCAAATCTTATTTTCAAAAAAATGTTTTTTTAACTGTTGCTGCGCGATCGCTATCTCGCGGCAGGACTTTAAATTCTGCATCGATTCTTAAGAATTCAGTATAGTTTTTTCTTAGCGCGATCGCTATTTCGAGACGCGACTTCCGTTCTCGCGATTCACGTCGTCGTGGCAGTAACTGCAGCTATTGCTGAACAATCTAGCAGTCGCGTTACCATTTATGGTTCGCGACTCGTGCTAAGATCAAAAAACTGCTGAGGATCATTTAAAGTAAAGAAGTTTAAGAAGTAGTGACGCGACTCATGCCTTTTTAAAACGTTTATGAAAAACTGTGGCTGACACCTGAACTCAAACATCAAAAAATGAAATTTATTTTAACTGATATATAAATTTATCGATTATTGTACGTAATTTAATGAAATAAAACTTAGAATAATCTTAAAGTGTATAACATGTACACAACGATGTCGCTAGATACTAACCGCTTGTGAAACAAACAGTTAATCAAAAATAAGTACACAAATCAGCAAAAAACGCAATCAACCCATTTATCGTAGAGTCCTGCATGGTTGAATCCCGTTCTGCAGGACAGACGGACTTAGGACAAAAAAATAACTTTACGGACTCGGGCTCACGGACTCGAGCTTATGGGGTCGGAACAAGTCGTAGAAAAATGTTATCGCTTAAGTTTTGTCTTTTGATTGTAATTAAGCTGCAACTTTAAATGTTTAATTCTTGTAATACTATCAAATCAAAACTGTAATTTTATAATAATTAATAAAAATTAACCTGGAGAGACGAAATAGTCTGGATTTAAACTTAAGAAGATGTTTCATATCTAAAACTCGGTTTACGTTTCTTTCCTTTCGATTCTGAGGTAGTGAGTGGATGTAAAACATTTTTTTATACAACACTTTTAAATTTAGAATCAAATAAATTAGACTTAAATTTTGTCATGCGGATTTTGCAAAAATAAGTTTAAGACTTTAAGCGTCCCTTGTAATATTTACGGTTTTGTCTCAACAGAGAAAATTTTTAAAATAATTCGAGTTTATTGTAAGATAATGCGCTAATCTTTTTCGGAAGACTACAGTTTTCGAGCTGACTAAATTGTAGTAACCCATCTCTCTCCGCGTATCTTGAAATCAATTTTTAGAAGAAATTTTCTCCCTTCAGTTGGAATTTTGGTAAATGATTTAGCAACCTTAATTTCAGATATCTTCTTACTTTATTAACTAGTTCTACACACCTTTTTTATGCCTGTATTAAGTTTTAGTGCTCATTTCGGAAATTTATAGCTTTTTTACGTCTTAGTTCTAACAGTTTCTAGAAAGTTTGCTCGTTTCCTTCTACGTTTCATTTTAAGGTTTATAGTTTTAGTTCTTTGATTGTGCTTTTTTAATTGATTTCGTGCTCGTTTTTGTGTCTTCTTTTAATTCAGGTCATTGTTTTGTTTTTTCTAGTAAATTCTACCTTTTCTAGTAGCATAAACTGCTTAATTCTAAGACTTAGTTGTTTTTTCGTTTTATATCTAGATCCACAGTTTTACCTTGTCGTTTCGTGCCATTCTGATCGATTTCGTGATTGTTTGTATTTTTTTAAATTTTCTTGGTATTATTTTGTTTTTTCTAGGAAATTCTGTCATTTTTTGTACCAAAAATAGTGCTTATTTCCACAAATTCGCTCAATTTTTTTCGTTTTTCTTTAGGACCACAGCTTCAACTCTTCCTTTTGTCCTCTTTTCATTGCTTTTGTGCTTTGCTTGTGTATTTCTTTTACTTTTTTTATTTGTTTAGGTCATTATTCTGTTTTTTCTAGAAGTTCAATTTGTTTTGTCTTTTCGTTGAATTCAACAGTAGTCTCATCACAAAGTTAATAATTTGCTTCGACTCTACATGGAAAGGAGACATTATAGACAAGTGTTGCATATAGCGACATGAGAGCATGCACTAGTCTATGGCGGCAGTACTATCCCAACGAAAGGTTTCGTTCTTCATTTGCGCGATTCAAATGCGCGAAAGGAAAAGCGATCGATCATTACTAACGTGAAAAAAACAACTTTTGATTAAGCTAGAGTATAATATGTCATAATATGAGGTAATTTTACAAATATCAAACTGCGATGTTTTTACCAATACGTTCTTCTTGATCATAGAAAGTATTTAGTTATTTAGTCTAACATATGAGAGAAACGTAATTTTCTAGTACAATCACTTGTTTAAGATATGTTTCTATAATAACTCAGATTACAAGAGGCTTCGTTGAGCAATTTTTTCTTTGCTTTGCCTAGTACTTTGCCCACTTCCACAAAAATCTTCTGCTCGATACGTCCTTTCGTTGCAAAGTTATGAGACTCGAAAGTTGAAAAAACTTAATTTTCTGATGACTGACTCATCACCTGAAAACTGAATTTTTGATTATACAAAAAGATATAAAAAGAAAAGGAAAGCAGCGCATCCTGTAGAGAATTGAATTGTGAATCTAACCATATGATTAGTGTTCAGCTTTGTTTACTTTTATTTGTTGTTCTTTAGATATAATCATTTTACAAGCATCTTTTCCGTTTTTTGTAGACCGACCTTCTCTTACAGTTTTCCCCACTGAAGAAATTTTTGGAGTGGCTAAAAGTTGTAGATCAGACGTCGGTCTATAACTATATTTAAAAAAATCCAGTTTGCATGATTTGGTAGAAATAAAAACAGCTTTCATTCTTGCGGAAGTCAATTTCCGCTCTAAATGTAGACTGACTTTTTGCAACTTGTTTTGCTCAAAACTAATGAAGCATGCATTCGTTCTCGATGAAACTTCTACATTAGATAGAGCATCAAAAGTTGTACTAGCAAAAGTAATTTCAGATCGAATCCTCATTTTGTTCCTTACTATTTTTACATTATAGGGGAAAATGTAGATCGACTTTTATTTTTAACTAAATGTAGACCAACCTTTTTTCGTGAGATTTTTGGTCAAAGCTAAACGAAAACCATCAATACCGTACATCAGTCGACTCCTTAGACTGCGGCGAGTTTGACCACCTAATTTTGGAGCTCTAAAATTTATAGTCTTTGCTAAAATAATGGATAATTCTGAAAGTAGAATCACATAACGAAATTCGGACTTTTTAAATTTTAACACTAAAGAATGAAAAAACTTTTCTGCGGTTTTTCGGCTTGACGCATTTGGTCACAGTCCCACTATACTGCTCGAATCATTCTCTGTCGAACGATGTAGAATACATCTATTTCAACCCTTTTTCTAGCAAAATCCTGCCAAAAATTCTCTATGGCAAAAACCGAAAATTGTCTCCCTCCTAACTCAGCCAGTATGAGTCTGACAGTTGGGAAATATTTATAGGATACTCGGCAAAAACAGGGGAACAAAATGTACCATTCAAATTTTTTTTATGAACATTTTCATTTTTTCGATTGTACCAGAAAGTTACGTTTCTCTCATATATTTACTATCAAAATAAAATAGTTCAAAAAACTAACGAAAAGTCTGAACATTTGTTTCTTAAAATATATTAAAAACACGTTTTCATGTAACACATTTGACTACAACATTCATCATTTCGACTACACCATGTTCCTGGACAATAACAGCCAAAACCGACGCCCATAAATGGACTTATTTTTGGATTACATTGAAAATGTATCGCTGCTTTATTACGATGATAAGGTTTAACCAAGACACAATCCACATTTTCGAACGATTTAAGCCATAAAAATAGAACGCAGAATGCCAAATACTTTGTTATTACCATCATTAACTAAAACGGCTATTAAAACGAATAAAAATTAGTATAATGTAAACTGTCGATTAGTTAGAATATATATTTTTTTAAAGAAGTAACATCTATATCTGTCAAATGTTCCATACCTGATATTTATATAGAGACTTCTTGAATGTTTTCATCATTATCTTTGTATATACAGACTTGTTGTTAGAAAGCACTCTAAGCCGATTTGAAGGGTAATGCATTATAGTATGTGAACACATAGAATTGATCACATTTTAATTGACAATAATATTCAGGCTTTTGGTAGTTTTTCTTTTTTTCGTTGTCGCACTTCATTTATAGGAAGTTTTATTTTTCTTACTCTATGTATTCTTTTCCTGACGGAAATCAAGGCTTAAGTAGTTTTTGATAGCAAAACAAAAAAAAAGAAATAATTTTAAATTAATATGTAGTAATAATAAAATCACTATTATTAATATAGAGACGTCTGCTAAAATTGAAAAGAAAAGTAAAGATAGAATGCAGAAAATTGACTTAGGAAGGAACAAAATAAATAATATGCAATAAACACAGATAATTTTAAAAAATGACAAGAAAAAAAAATTAAATAAAAGTTGAATTGAACGCTGTAACAGACATGCTACGACATATACTTCATAATATTTTCCCTATGAACTATCATAATATGCTGAAACTATAAAATACGTGTGAGGTGTCTTATATATATTATCAAATATTGACCTAGGACTTCAACAATGCATCTCAAGCTCAATTCCTAGACACCATATTTGTCTTTTTCAATATCACTGTCTGGACATGGAAAGAAACGGGTCTAATAATAATTCAGATTATACATGTGATACGGCGTTATGGCATCTTCCAGTCAGAAATCTATTTTCGTTTCAGAACATCCGATCGTTGTTGTTTAGTTTTCCCAAATCAAACGTTTTAGGAAAAAAGTTTTGATAAATTTTTTGACAACTTGCCTTTTCTCAAAAACTTGAAAAAAATTAAAAATTCAGCTCTATTAAATTGTAGCACCAAGTCTCGGCGACACTTTGAGATCACTTCGAGTATTTTAGCGCACAAAATGGCTGAGAAATGTTTCACACACGAACAGCTAAACCCAAAACAAACGGTTTCAGGAAAAACGCAACAAATTTTGTCTTTAAAAATCAATTTTTTAATCTTTGATGATGAAGCGACATACAAAGAAACTGAGAATAATTCGTCAGAGATTGTCGACTATGGCAAACCGAATATGTTTTTGCATATATAGGAAGATTGAAAAAAAAATCATATTTTTTAGATTTGAGATGTTTTAGAAAACCCTTCAGAAACCATTGTAGAACCAAAAAATTATAGCGCGATCGTTAATAGACACTTTGGGCTACCCAACGATGTATTAGTCTCAAAATCGATATTTTTGACAAAAATTAACTTTTCTGAAGGGGATTTATCTAACTTTGTGATTATGTCAATTTACACACTTATCATACAGGGAAAAAATCTCCGGTCAGTTACTGAAACCGATTTCAATACATTGTCAGATTCTCAGCGAAATAGATCCACAATATGCTTGTTAAATCGCGATCGATTGGCGTGATGTTTTACTGATGTTACCAACTTTGCTGGAACTCTAATAGAAATATGAACAATATTTTTTTGGAATTAAACAGTATCATCTGATAGAATATAAATACGATGACTTCAATTTATGGAATAATACATTCAACTTTGTGAGTATTTCAAATTAGTATATCTAGTCGATTTTTTTGTTACAAGGACATACAGTCGGGTATATTTATGCCATTGTGTTTTTATTTTGATATGATGTTTACAATATATATATATATTACTAGAATCGCATTTTGATTAAAAATAGTTGAGATAATTTGATATAACTATTTTTTCTGATCATTGTTACGTTATAAGAGCAAAATATAAATGGAAAATATTAGACATGTTAATTGTTCTTTGATAAATAAAAACAAAACATTCTTCATTTCTTTGTAAATAGTGAGATTAATTTTTTCCATTAATGCTGTTCTACGATTATGTAGTAGTCAACCATATAGAGAAGATTTTGTTATAGCTGTTTCATAATATTTTCATTTTCAGTTTTTTTCTTTACTTTTCCAAGATATGCAGATTTTGAAACACAAAGAAAAATAATTGATGCTGTTGTTGAACTAGAAGCAAGAAGAAAAAAGGAGGGTCGTAAGAAATAATATAGGTTTTAATAGAAAAAAATCATCTAATCCTTTCTTCTTCTTATGAACACAAGAACGGGAATACTTCATATTTCTACATCATAATATGTTTTATCAATTAATTTACTACACAAACTCGAAAATGATTATGTTGCGAGATTAAAAGGCTTTCAAATCTTGAAAAGGCTACTGAGAATTTTGATTTTAGTTTCGAAAGATTCAGTTCATTTAGAAAATAGTTGTAATTATCTCTAGTATGCTGGTCTTCAACGTATAAAGAAATATGTAACAAAAATTCATATTTCAGTCACAAATTTATCTGTTTTTTAGAGATCTGAAATCCACTTTTAGTCTTTTTTCTCAAAATAATCATGTTATACTTTTTGTCGTTTTGTTTTTAGTTGAAACAATGATGATAGAATCAAGTAGAAACAATATATCATTGAAAATGAGTGTTGGTAAGTCTATATTAGTATGATGCATTAAAATACGAGTTTACTTATGTTTGTTTGTCTTTCACCTGGACACCGGTCAATTAATTAAAAGGACAGTTGAAGGCGCAGTTAATTCAGATAATTCTATTGCAAATGTATATTCTCACTTGATCATTTGTTTTCATCATTCGTAAGCGTATTATTCTCATAAATAACTCATATTCTGCATCCACATTACACCATGCATTGAAAGTTGCCTCTCGGTTGGTCAATATGTATCAAAACATTTCATTATCAATTATTAGTGACTTTGTTCAACGTTTAAAAAAAATGAAAAAAAAAGTGTATGGTTATTTAAAACATTTTTTAAAATTAATTGAATCTTTACGAAAATGTCATGAAACATTAAAAAATGAATTATTGATAATAACATTAGCACTCAATTTTAATGAAGATGTATTGATTAAGAAAAATGACGACACTAGTTTATTAGCAATATACGGTAAATTTTCATCAAAAAGTTGTGTATCAAAATATCGTTTACACTGTGCGCAACTTGCACTCAAAATAAAACAAGATTTAAAGTCCATTAATGAAAAATTAGTGAATTTGTTAAGTGATGAATATGATGTCAATATGAGCTTGTTGTGTGATGAAAGTAAAAAAGTTCTATCGTGTCTTTCATACTATGATAGTGGAATGACGTACATTCTACGACTTATTCCTGACAGTGCCTTGAAATTTGAAACACTACTTCAACTATGTACTCAATTGTTCGATTTAGAGCCGACCATTCAGTTGGAGTTGTCACCAATTAAAGATAATAACTTGAATCTAAATACTTCACTCGTTGTGTTTAGTACAGGTGTCAGCCCATGATCGATATTAACTCATTCTGACCAACGTTTACCAAATCTACTACACGATGTTCATCCAATTAGCGACAACCATTTAATGGTTGATCTCGATTCACAATCGAGTCATCGTCTCATAATACCGTCAGGCACTAGTACTCATCAACCATCGGCTTTTCCTGTACAACAAACGTTTGTTTTTTCATCTGATCTAACTACCAAACAATCTCGTTTACCATCAACAATGACAACAACGAATTTGAATGGTCTAACGACTATACATTTTCAACACCATCAAGCTCATTATTTAACATCATCGTCGTTTTCATCCACAAACGTTTCTAGCAGTTCGAATATTGAGCAAATTTCACTTCTCAGTCAAACTGATATCACATCATTTACAATGATTAATAATAAACCGAATGAAACGATAGTTGAGGGAAAAGAAGATATGAGTATGACTGTTCTCATTGCTAGTTTGAAATATCGTTTACAAGAAGAATTATCTTGTTTAACATCTTTATTAGAATGTTGCTCTGGAGACGGCTGAACGTCTTCGCGCCATATGTCGAAGAATTTCAGAAATTGAACGATCAATGATCGATCTTAAAATAGATTATGATAATAGAGGTGTCGCGAGTAATGACAGAACAACAGCACAAAACACCTATTCTCGTCATCCTCAAGTTATTTTAGCGAGAGAACTATTTATCGAGCTCATGGAAGTGTGCAAACAGAATTAGAAATAGTTATTAGAGAAACTAAAACAAACATCCAATGGCTGCAAATGGCTTTACAGCGGGCGATAGAAAATTTATGATACGTAATTTTCTACTCACTTAGTAAAAAATATAGTGGACCTATATTTTGTATAATTAAAAGGAAAAGTGCAGACAGTGATCCCTCGTTCCTAAGGGACCGAGAAACCTTACCAAAGAGCTCAAAATAGTAACTTTCATTACTCATAGAACTCGTGCCTTGAAACTAAAATTGTTTGTTTACTCTGCTGAAACTCTAAAGTAAAACAGAGTTTTGGTGTTTCACATGGGTCGAAATCACAAGTTTGCTGTTAGAATATATTAGTCGAAGAAACATTCCGAGACTAAAATAATCTTAGACTAGGAAATTCAATAGTTTATGTCAAACAACCGTACTGAATCGAGAAACGTTCATCATTCTATATAAAAAAGCTTGTCTACTGTTTTGTGATATGACAGATGTCAGAAAACTGAGAATATTACTTTTGAAAGGATGCAATGTGTAGTCTAAGAAGCAGAATTTCTTTACTGTCTTTATTATATACTGTAATAAGGTTTTCCTTCATTTAAAGACGCATCTATAAAAACCAAACATCAGAAAAAAAAAAATTTCAAGACAATTATTAGAATTAATATAAAGATGAATGCGTTCTTCGTCTGAATAGAAAATGAATTAGTTCACCACGAAACTTCATACCGCAGAATGAATAGAGAAAAAAGTTAACGGAAAATGATGCATAGGATAATGATTGTGTTATCAATATTAACGTGTATAGAAATTCGACTCGTCTAAATTTAAGTACATTTTCACGTTTCACTAAATTTTGCATATTTAAAGTAAAATTCCGTTTATTGATAAAAACTAAATTTTTTGTATATGATTTATCTGTACTATTAATTCGCGTTAGATGTGAATGTATTAGTGGATGATCATACATCGGTGTTCCAGACGTCAATGTGTATACTTTCAATGCAATGATAAAAGTGTGTGTTGGAGCATTTAATAATAGAAAACATGTTGAAACAAGTATCAACATACGCGTAACACGAGTTGATAATGCAATTCGTACTTGTTTTCCAGTACCATAATATTGTGAACGATTTGACATTCGAATATTTGCTCGTCTTAAAAATGAATCAATAAGAGCTACTTTGTTTTCATCATTTGATATTGATTGATCTTCTATTTCACTTTTACTACATTTTAACGATCTTAAATGTATAGAACTATCACGATTCGAATAGTGATGATGTATGAAATCATTATTATTGTAAGTTGTTAAAGCTCGTTTTTTTAAAAATCGTTGTATATCCAACATTAATGGTTTTTTTGATGGTTTAGAACGCGTTCGTTGACGCTTCAAATATTTCAGTGATTCAGTTTCTGCTAACTGTAATGGTTGTCGATAACAGAATAATTCATTGCTGCTATTAATCTAAAAGAGAAGAAAAAAAGGATACAGTTCATACTTCTTTGCACTGAAAAAGCTTATACTTTCTTATCCATTAGATAGTTCTTGTTCAAAAATTTTTATTCAAATCTGAAATCTTAGATTATTCTAGAAATCTTACGATATGAAATCTTACATGATATTAGTAAGATAATTTAAACAAGTGCTTAACCCTTTACACCCGGCCGTCCCTTCCAAGGGACATTGCTGTAATAGATTTATACAAAGAACGGATCATCAGGCCATAAGTTAGATTATTACTAATGTAGGACAATAGATTAGCCTAACTTTTGATTGAAATTAGAAAAAAAAAATTTCCATTTTAATCCGATATTTTTGAATTTTAAAATTGAATAAAGTTCAAAAATGAATTTTTTGGCTTTAGATATTTTCTATACTTGTAGCCACTAAATCATTTTCTAATTTTGTAGTTAGTAGTTTTGGTTGTATGTATGTACTTTATAATGAAATCAAAGTAGACATTTTTGTAGCATTCTTCTTTGCGTAAAAGCGCTGCGGATTTGCTGTCCCTTGGAAGGGACATTCGGGTGTAACGACATGAAAAGTGAATTTTTTTATCTTAACATCTTGTTAGCGTGGGTCATTCTGTGATCACTCGCTACATATCTGAAGATGGACGAATGAAGAAAAAAAGATGTAACCAAGAGTACAGTGCCGTCGCCGACAAATGTGAAGGCGTTTTTCTCTGATCGATATAAAAATTCTATCTAAGTGCGTTTTAAATACTGAATAAAATTGGGAAGCGTCTAAACTATCTTCAATTTTTTAAAAAACAAGATACGTCCGAACACACTTTTCTTCCTTGAGATAAAAAGAAGCTCGTTTAGAAGCGCCGTTGTGACCATCTTGATTCGAAAAACGAGTTCGGGCACGACGTTTTTGGAAAAATTAAAGAAAAATGCGTTTGTTTCTATCAAAATTTTATCCAGTGAGTAAAGAATTGAAAAGAAACTCATAGTAACACACTAGGGTAAAAAAGGAAGTTCGGAATAATAATGAAAAAAATACAAAATCCATGTCGTTACACCCGAATGTCCCTTCCAAGGGACATCATGTATCCACGCGGCAAAGCAACACCACTTAAGTCCAGATATAACATGGGTGTACCAAAGAACTGTAAGTTTCAATGCAATAGTTATTTCAGCGGCAGCTATAATAAAAGTGTCTTCGAGTGTAAAGGGTTAAGATTTTCACTGACAATTTAGAGAAAAACAAACAATAATTTTACCCTTGATATTAGTGGTTCAAATGAATGCCCATTATGTATTAATCGACAAGTTTTGACGTCAAAATCTTCAATTACTTGACGATGATTAATTGAAAATTCTGTTGATAATGAATTTTGGTCGAATGATGGAACTGTTCTCCAACAATAAATTTTTTTTCGAGGACCTTTGTTATTGTTTAATAACGATAGTTTTGGTGTTAAACGTGTATGAATATACGAATCTGATTGATATTTTGTTTTATTGTTGTTGTTAATTGATTTTGCTCGTATTATCGTCGATAAGTGTGGTCGTTTATAATTTATTGATGACTGAGCACTAATTGCTGATCTTTCATTTTTTCGTATTTGATAAACAATAAGTAAATTAAACGATACAATAAGAAAAAATGGTAAAACAAATGATAAAATAGCATCGGATATAAACCATTTTAATGTTAATTCTTCATGACATTTGTCATATTCATTATTATAAACAAGTAAAATACAATAAATTAAACTTATTGCTGTACATGTAAAAATGATGACATAATTTACTAATCGGGCACTTTTTAATGCAGCTTTCAATGGTACTTTAACAGCGATAAAACGTTGTATTGTAAAATGGACAGTAAAACAAGCAGATAATAATTCAGCAAAATGAGAAAACATTGATAAAGATTTACACATAATATCATTATTAGTTCGAGTAAAATCATTAATACATCGTAAAATTAGAATGATGTTAAACAATAAATCACTCAATGCTAAATATAACATGAAAGCAAAATACATTTATGGTTGCGGTAGAAAAAAAAGCTAGAACAGTATTTTTCTTGTATCATTTAGATTTCTAAGGGCTAATGTTTGTTTCTTTTCCAAGAGTCACTATTCTATTCTCTACAGAATCATATTTAAAATTTCTTCATATCAAAGGAAGAAATTTTGAAAAAAAATTATTATTTTCGTTTTATAGTTTTGAGTTTTTAGTCAAATTGGGCTCAAAACTAATCTGTTCAGTATTTTTAAAGAGGATTTTATTAAATTGAAAAATTAAATTAAATTAAAAGTAATATAAAACGATTTTATTCCTAATCAAATAAGTGAAAAAAATGAAATTTTAATTGTCTTAAATCGACCTTCAAGAAGTCAAATCATCTAATTTGATTTAAACGAATTATACTATACATTATGACAAAGGGAGTACTTAAAAGTATACGAAAACTTAGTTAGAAATTTTTAATATTTAACCGAATGTTCGAAAAAAATAATTCGAATAAATGTGAACATTTTTTGAAACTGTACACAATTCTCGTCTACAGTTTCACTTTCACACTTTGTAACAAAGCGTTTAATACGTTTTTACAGAGGATTAATTGACCAATTTCTTTTTCCCTTTTTGAAACCTGAAACTGAATGAAAGTATAGAATCTGTTTATAGGAGAGATATTCGTTTTTAGAACAATTTATTGCATGTATTCTTCTCTTGTATTCGATGAAGTACAGCGTATGAAAGGTCGGAAGATCGAATCCAGGAGAAGAACACATACAATAAATTGTTCTAAAAAATGAATGAAAGTATAGATGATCAATTACGCCGAGTCTTGCGACAATTATTTTCAGAAAAAGTTCAATAACTTAGTGAAAACCTATACTAGGTAAAAAAAACTTATTTGTTTACCAAAAACAAGGAAATTTACAACTCATTCAAAATCGATTGAAACTACTTCAGAATATCAAGGAATACTCTATTTCACCTAAACATAAATTTCTACTTGAGACAGAGGTGCAACCAGTACCGGTATGAATTATAACACCGACCGATATACCGGCATTAGTATGAAGTATAATCAGTCGGTCGACATTGTCGGTATTTTGCGATATGACATGATTTTTCGGAAAACATCGTGTAAATTCAGTTCATCTGTGACATATTTCTTCCACTAAAATTTCATTCCAATTACCTAAACTTAGTCGGGTTATATAAACTTCTTAATTTAAAAAGTTGTATTGCACTGCTGTTTGCGTTGAAAAAGAGTGTGTGAAAAATCACCTATACATAATCAAAGTGATTCCCTTTGATAACGTAAGTGATTGATCAAAAGAAGAGTAATCGATTTTTTTCGCTGAATATTAACAGACTTCTTCACACCCATGACACGGAAAAAGTATTTGTATTTAGGCAAAACATGATCAAGACAAGCCGGTAGCGACCGGTAAACCGGTCATCGGTATACCGGCCGGTACCGGTACGAGGTCTGTATACCGGTGATCGGTACCGATATCGTATTTTTGATACCGGTTACATCCCGATCAGTAAAACATTTTCTTACTATAGAAAGTTCTAGACAATCTTATAAAGAATCAAAGTATTTCAGCGTAATTAATTATTTACATTTCAATTCATTTTTACTCCAGCTTAAGAAATATAGATTCTAGAGCTCAAACAAAAATCTGATTCTACGATTAAAATCATTTTTTTTTCGATTTTATCTATCTAATAACGAACATCCGATGTCTTGATCTCATTTCTTTTAAACGCTATTCATAAGAGAGTTTTCTATACGATATTTTGAAATGGATAGTATTTTAGAAAGTCGTGTGACACAATGTTTTTATCTATATAATCTCAATTTCAATTTAATAAAATTAAGTATTTCATACCTAATGAAATTAATGTACCATTATTTAAATTTCTTGAAAATGAACGTTTCGATAATATGACGGTCGTGAGTATATTTCCAATAATTCCAGTTATACTCACAATTAACATATAGGGTGGAAATATATGTAATAATACTTTTTGTATTTTCTTATAATTATTTTGCTTATAATTAGTGATATTAGTGGTTGAATATATTAAATCCATTTTTTATAAACAAATTTTTTATCTAAAATATGAAAAACATATAAATGGATTATGCGAATATGATGAACATGATATGTGGTTTGAAAGGAGATTTTATTCATCATTGTAAGAAAAACGATACTTAAAGAATAGAAAGTTTTTGATGAAATAACTATGTAAATACTGATGACTATTTTAATTAACAGATGTTGGCCTATTGTGTATGAATTTTATTCTATCTTTCGCCTTTTATAATTGAACAGATATTATTTATTTTTATTTCTGTTCATTCTATTTTGTTTTATTAGTAATATCATCATAATAGAAGATAGAATCGTTTTTTTTAAGAAAAGAAAAAAAATAGAAAGAATGTCCTCGTTCTCACGTACAAATAGAAGATGAACATCATCACGATATAGTTACACCCTGGTGCGAAAATGAAGTTGTGAACGTCGAGATACGATTATGAATTAGTCTTCGTTTATTAGATAGACTAGGGATTGACATCCGTCCTGGAAGGTCGATGGAATTATGAAAATAAAAGTAACACGGTTTTATAATCATGTAGGCGTTTATTCTACTATGCAAAAGACTCTTTCTTTAATGTAGTATTTAGTACGTGTTACAAACTGAATATTAGCATCTTAAAATATCGGTCTACCTCATACTATACAGTGGGCGTGGATTGACTTATATGAAAAATATGCTGCATGTTGCATCTTTATATATATTTGTACAGTAGCCACAGAGGAGTAACCACTAACCTACCTGTTAAATCCACTGAACTCTGCTCTTTTTATTTTTGATTGATCAATGGCATCATTAAACAGCTGCTCAAATGTTCACTATGTCAACAATGTTTTGCAATGTTCTTGCCATAAAAGTATAAATTCAAAAAAAAAGATAAAAAAATAATAATCGTAAATATACTTCTGTTATGCACAGTGGGTATTTTTCTAATAGCAGCTAGACACCATAATTTTTTATTCTAAACCATTTTTTCATGAATAATTATCATTTCTTCGTCAGCTATGGTGCTCTCAAAAATCACTTTTTTCGGTAGATCGGGCATGGGAAAATTTTCAGGGGATAGCTATACAACCCAAAACTTAGGTAGAGCAGTTTTTATGAGACGAAAGAGGAGAGAGTACAGTACTGCTATAAAGATCATGGTAGTAGAATTTTACCAAATTCCCACACTTTGATTTTATTATCCTATCAGATTATTCATTATAAATAATAAAATCATACTACCATGATCTTTATAGCAGTACTGTACTCTCTCCTCTTTCAACCCAGAACTTATTCTAGTACACATAATTCAATGCAACACGACGCACTAATCCTGAATATATGACCTTATGTTTTCTTAAAAATATTCCTGAACTGAGAAAAATAGATTTTACCAGAAAACAAAAACAGAATGTTTTAGAAACCCTACAATGAGAACTAGGAAAAGAGTTTCATTAAGTTGCATGCAATGTTGTATATAGATGAATATTCCGGCAAAAAAATATTGACGAATTTTGAAGCTCGGGAAAAGTCGAGAAACTCTTTATACTAATAACACGTCTACGAAAACTTAGTTAGTCTGAAGAAAAAAATGAATCTCTCCAACACTATAAGTTCAAACTGGAAAGATTTTTCGTTGACTTAGCCAAAAAAGAAGCCTAGATTCATGATCTATCTCGTTTTTGTTTTGGACTCGGTTGACTTCAATGAAAAACTTCTCTTACTACACCCGAATGTGTTTTTAAACTAATTTTTGTATAAGTATTTTGTCATAATCCTTAAAAGTTAGAATAAAACTTCTTTTGGAAATATGTGGTCAAAAGTATAGTTTTCTATACTTAGATTAGCAAACAGAACACTTTATTTTTTTCTTAAACGTTCGTCTGATTGCACGCTGTGTGGCGCATACCTTTTTCGACAAATAATTATTTATTCAAATAGTCAGACGGACGACATTGGATCAAAATATATTTCAATGAAATCTACGATTACTAAATATGTTTACTAATTATAGGATAAAAATAGCGCATCTATCTGATCAAAATGTGGAAAATATTTATTTCCTTCCATTGCGTTAAACTAACAAAAAACAAAAATGGAAAGAATGAGAACTTTAGTAATAGAATTAACCAACCAAAAGAATATTGAATTTAATTCTAGTCACAACATCACATCATATTAGAAATAATTAACACGTTTCTCTAAAACATCAAACGTGAAGCCAAACTGAAATTCTTTTTAACGACTTATAATAACCTTTTTAGTGAAAGTTTGAATGTGTTGAGCGTCTCACCAGCATTCACGTTGAAATACTTATTGTGATAAATCACTATTCCCTCTTCCAGAATAGAAGAGCATGGCCTTCTATTGCGTGTCGGCAGATAAAGCTTTTTAGGATACTCTGTAAAAAGAAAAATGTTTATTACGAAATCTAAAAAGGTATTGAGAACTGCAATCATTTCGAAACAGTTTTAGATTTCAGGTTTCGTACACCGAGTAGTACACCTCTGCTTCCATCCAGAACCATAGAAGATTTCGTAGTCGAAGTACGAAACCCGAAATCGAGAACGATTTTCGAAATGGTTGTAATTCTCTGTACCCTTTTAGGTTTCGTAATAAACATGTGTTTTTAGAGAGGAGGCATTCTTGGTTCCTTAACACAAATCATGAGTTTAAGGGGGGGGGGGGGGGGGGGGGGGGGGGGGGGGGGGGGGGGGGGGGGGGGGGGGGGGGGGGGGGGGGGGGGGGGGGGGGGGGGGGGGGGGGGGGGGGGGGGGGGGGGGGGGG